TGGGCGAGATAGGACAGGATGAGGGATGGGCGAGATAGGACATGGTGAGGGATGGGCGAGATAGGACAGGATGAGGGGTGGGCGAGATAGGACACGGTGAGGGATGGGCGAGATAGGACAGGATGAGGGGTGGGCGAGATAGGACACGGTGAGGGGTGGGCGAGATAGGACACGGAGAAACACAGTGAAGAGTATGGCGATATAGGATGAGATATAATGAGATAGGATGAAATAAGATGAGATAGGATGAGACAGGTCTTGTCGTATCTTGTGTTATACCTTATCTTGTCTTGTCGTATCTTGTGTTATATCTTGTCTTGTCTTATCTTGTGTTATATCTTGACTTGTCGTATCTTGTGTTATATCTTGTCGTATCTTGTGTTATATCTTGTCTTATCGTATCTTGTGTTATATCTTGTCTTATCGTATCTTGTGTTATATCTTGTCTTATCGTATCTTGTGTTATATCTTGTCGTATCTTGTGTTATATCTTGTCTTATTGTATCTTGTGTTATATCTTGACTTGTCTTATCTTGCCTTGTCTTATATTTTCTATTGTTATCCTATCTTACTTTGTCTTATCTGAAAAGAATGACATTTCAGAACGAAATATAAGGCTAGATGAGATAAAGCAAGACAAAATGAGATGAGATCAGATGAAAAAACACGACATGATTAGATAAGACAAGATAAGACACAGTAAATATAGACAAGACAATAGATAAAACGAGACACGACTCATTGTAAAACGTTTCCCGTCTGTGCAGGTCTGAACCACGCTAAATATAGACAAGACTGGGTGTAAATATAGACAAGACTGGGTGTAAATATAGACAAGACTCGGTGTAAATATAGACAAGACTCGGTGTAAATATAGACAAGACTGGGTGTAAATATAGACAAGACTCTGTGTAAATATAGACAAGACTCGGTGTAAATATAGACAAGACTGGGTGTAAATATAGACAAGACTGGGTGTAAATATAGACAAGACTGTGTGTAAATATAGACAAGACTCGGTGTAAATATAGACAAGACTCTGTGTAAATATAAGCAAGACTGGGTGTAAATATAGACAAGACTCGGTGTACAACGTTTGCCGTCTGTACAGGTCTGAACCACACCCTGGAGCTGTCGGAGCTGACGAGACAACAGCTGGAGGAGGAGATCATCTCCCTGACCAAGGACAAACAGGAAGTCATCGCTCAGCTCAACGTGGTAGGTTGGTGGTGGTGGTGGTGTTGGTGGTGGTGGTGGTGGTGGTGGTGTTGTTGTCGATGTCGTTGTTGGTGGTGGTGTTGTCGTTGTTGTTGGTATTGTTGTTGTCGTTGTTGGTGGTGGTGTTTGTCGTATATCGTCCTTGTCTCTCCTCCCTTTTTATGTTTGTTACTCTCTTGTAACACCTCCAATCTTCGGCACTTATCTGACCTTATTGTGTTGCAAGTGCCGTAAAACTCTTACTACAACCAAACTGACCAAACGACAATCATCGTGTCCATGTGCGTCTCTTCTCTCACTCACTGACTGTGATGAGCTGACTGTCTCTGTCTTCCGGTACTTGTCCTCATCTCAGACAGACAGACAAACCAACAAACAGACAAACCAACAAATAGGCTAACCTTTTAGCTGTGGTCTGGTGCTGATGTTTTCATCATCATTGATGGCTATTGATTTGTGCTGATGTTTTCATCATCATTGATGGCTATTGATTTGTGCTGATGTTTTCATCATCATTGATGGCTATTGATTTGTGCTGATG